CGAAATCCCGCTTGATTCTCACGAGTCAAGACTTCGCGTGCCGCCATGAGACGACAAAGAATCAATGAAGCCAGAAGCCTTGTCACAACAGGCGTCAAACTAACACCTCTGTGGTTGCTACATTCATGGCGGGTACTGGGCACTACTGTCGATTCACCCCAGTTGTCTGAGGCGGTCTCCTTCTCCCAAATAGGCTAGACAGGCACTGACTCAGGAATCCACCGCCATCCTTGGAAATAGCAGGTGGAAGGTCATCAGGACCAGTAGCACGATGACGCTTGAGTAGAGGAATGCTTTCGGACACTTCTGAGACTGAAGGCGGCTCCATATTTACGGTCTGCCTTTCTGTTGAAGGCCAGGATTCTGGATTGAAGATAGCAGGTGGCCAGCTGGATTGCTGTTCGAAGTACTGTGCCCAGCGGTCCAAGCGTTCTGCTTTGTTGCATATCGAGGAGCCATTTTGGTCTCTGATTATTTCGCTGACAAGAGGTTCCCGAGGACCAGTCCAACGGTGTGCCAAGATGCGTGCAGTTAAACTACCACTGCACATCCGCAGTCGTTTACCTATCTGGAGTCGCCCGTCACGTATCAAGTGTAAACATAGCCAAATCCCAGACGGCAGGACGACCTCTCCAGAAGGCGTTCATAGAAGAGCCACAAGGTATACCGTTGGCCATTGGCGGTAGCCACAAATATTTTTCGCAGGTCTCCTGTACCTATAAGCGTTGCTTTTCAGACATTGCTCTATCGTGGTGCAATTAGAATCGATGCTGAAAGAGTGAAAAATCGGTGGGGAACGGTGTAATGGAGCGCCATTGTATACCATTTATACGTTGCCGCCAAACATTATGACGCGATGCAGTCATCCATGGGTTAGTTGAGTTGAACTCAGGTGAACGAGAACCCTCCCAAGCTGCTGTGATCCGACACCATTAGCTTCCATGATGAGGTTCCAATGGTCACGTGCGTCACCGTAACTGCTGTGTTGTGGTATAGAGCCTCGAACACAGGCACGTAATTATCCAGTATTTTAAACCTTGAAAGGCATTCCTAGAACCCTATTCATTTGTGGGGGAGGATATTTTCTAAAAAAAACACGTTTCTGATGTTTTGTTGCTTTAGAATCTAGCAAAGGATGAAAATGTAAAGAGCCGCCTCACTCTTCCCTTGTGGTTTTCACTGTGCCGACACTTTTTCGCATAACTGCAGCAGGTGATAGTGTTCAGACTGATCTCTTTAAGGGTAACACAGTTGTTTCGTGATCCTGTTTGAAAATAGAATCAGTTATTGACTAGGCCTAAGAGGACACGGTGACGAGTTCCCATGTCAACACTCACCACCTTTGAATAAAGCCGATATGGGTTAGCCAGACACTCTATGTCGATTTAGTTCACTGAGTTCTCAGTCGCTCTTTTCACTTGAATCTTCCAGAGAAGCTGGCCAAGATAAAGCGCTTACCTCTGGTACTGTGGCAGGGGTGTCATTAGCCCATTTAACTGACTAAAAGTCTGAAGTTGAGCGCTCCTACCACATCGGAGCAAACTTTCACCCGTAACACCCTTTCGGTGCCCAGCTGCCATGCCACCCGAAAGTCATACTAGGTTGCCCACCTCCGAATGCTTCGTATGGTTGTGTGATTTTGGTCTCATAAATGGCCCCGCCAACGCCTTGTCGCTTAAGATCGACTGCGTTCGAAGATTCCGGATACCGCGAAAGATTCTACCTCAGACTCACGGTCACGTTACCACCATTCTCGGTTTAACATTGGGACTCCCCCGTTTCAAAACCAGAGGTTCATCATCTGCGCCATCTGTAGTTAATTTAAGGAGACGCGGAGTTGGTGGGTGATTTTAGTGGCGTTTGGTTCGGTGGAAACTTGCTGAGCCAGTGGAATTCATGGTAAATTGTAGCTTCAAAACTAGCGGGCCGAGGCGAGAATTAGCAAACTTTGGTGCGAATCTTCGGAAAACAAAGATAGTCCTAGGTGTAGCTTGGCAGCCGTCACTCGCGCTTTCGCGGAACGGCAACGTCACTTTCCATTACTAGTGTGTGGCATAAATGAAAACACTAACCAGTGGAAATCTAGCGCACAACCTCGCCGTCAAAACCGGGTCTCGTTCCGGAATTGGATACATTATATGAGTAGGCTATGTTCCAGACAGGCTAAAAAACTTTGTCTGGTCAGTTAGTGTCGTGGAGGAACCCGCTTTACAGATTGACCTTATCAAGCACTGCCCAAACCCTTGTTGCTAGCCAAAAATACGGTATCATACTTGGTTACTCGGTGAAGCAGGCCACCCAAACATTGATATCGGTCAGCCCGATGAATTATTCAGCGGAAACCCCCAATCGAAGTGCAGCGGGTCTGGCTGCTGCAGTTTCATTCACCAAGTACAAACAAAGGAATGTCAGCCTTGCGTTCGTTGACGTTAAGTTTTGTTTGTCTAATATGACACGTAGTGAGATGCTACATGTTGAAGGCAACAGCTTCGACAAGACCGCCGTTGGCTGCTTGAGAACCATATCTGTGACGACATTTGCCAACGCGACCAAGTTCATTGGTAAAAACCGCATTTCGTTGGCATATCATGAACCGACCACCTCTGGGTCATGTCCTTTAGATGTGTGGCTGGGTGAAGAGGTTTTTGCGGGGTCACGCCTGTTTGGCATGACCTATGGAGTGTTACCAGCTGATCAGTTAAGTAAAGTTACCCCTCCTGAAAACCACCTGGCGTACCTTATCATTATTACTGTGATCTCACCAGACCCGCGAAAGGCTTCGGAAGTGGTCAACCACGTAGTCCTGGAAGACCTGCACGCAGCGGTCGAACGTCTGATCCAGGAAGTATGACATCGTGTCGCAACGTTGTACGCTGGCCTTGATAGCTAGACTGATGTCACTTCGGAGCCACAACTGTCGCGTGTTAACAAATGGCGCCCGTCTCAGAGATTGCTGGAAATTCGACGGCCTTCGACGGCCCATAGCCAGTTTCGCCCTTCTTGAGGCTCATCAGGTAGGTGCATTACCCGAGTTTCCGTCAAACTTATGTACTACTTGGGCCCAAATTGCACGAAATTAGTAAAGTACACTCATCTGGGGAACAAATTTGGTTTTGCGGGAGACTCACCTGGAGCCCAGCTGAATCTCTCGTTCGTGATGTTTTTAAGCATCAAGAAGAACGAAATCGTTCGTGGGCTGTCGAACTGTTTTCATAAACCTCATGAGTCGTGTATTACATCTGTGTGTCGCGATATCTCGAATGTACCAACTGGCGCAGCACGTTCAGTTGAATAAAACGAGAGATTTCGCTGGGTTCCATGTGAGTCTCCTGCAAAACTAAATTGGTTTGCAACTGAGTGTATTTCGCTAGCTTGGATTCAGTTGTAGGTGGTTGTGCGATTTGAGTTTGTAAGGGGTCTTCTCCCAGATAAACGATATCTTCAGCACACTCATTATCTTTGAGCGAACGTCCCGTCCACACAGCTCATGTTTTGCTGTTGTAACTGCAGTCACTAGGCGCGTCCTACCAGTATCTGACCCGTCAATTCTAAAAGCGTATAACTGACTTGATTGGAATTTCGTCTACTAAGACTCGTTCTGTCCCTAGATGCATTAGTGTCTGCCCGACCATTCGCTTGGGCACTGCGCAGAGGAACCCACATTGCATTTAGCACATGAAGTCACATTTCAGATTTATAGACAGCACGATCTACCATTTGAGTGCATTTCGGTTGATTTGTTCCAGGGAGACAATTTTAACGGAATGTTTAGGCTGTTGTTTGCCTAGGAACAGATTACTGCAAGGTTCAGTGGGATCAAACCCAAACTTTATACTTGCACGCGAGCCGGTCGATATAGAGAATAGGTTCGTCCATATGAACGGCGGTATAAATCCCGGTAAACTGGCGAAAAGCGAAATCAATTCCCGAATCGGGTAGACCATGGCAGCGTCCAGCAACCTCCGACATTTGTGGCACTGGTGTGAAATCAGCTTAGCTGTTAAGGGTAGATTGTACAATTCCGCGGTCCGATTTGTTTTACCTTCTGGGTCATAGACGTGACCGCTGCGTGTGCGAGCTCGAGATAGCTCAGTGGTTAAGGCGCGAGCTTATTGACCAGAAGATCTCCAGTTCGAACCCAGCATCTCGACTACCCCTGTCCAGACTTGGGCAGCGTGTCAATATCTCAGCACTCGTGTGACATGGCAGCTAGGTTTTGAAACGGTTACACCTGAGCGACCGCTAGGTGTGGAAAACCCTCGAGGGCTCTCCGAACCTCCATTAGTGCATTCGAAGCGTTACGGTGGTCTTTTGGGAGCGTCAGATCAACAATGCTGAGGTGTTCCAGATACTTTCCGGGAAAGCTCATTCTCCCTGGATAGTAGTCGTCGTTCAGCTGTAACCTGTTGGGTGCGTAGCTGCCAAGCCACCCAAAAGAAGCATGAGGGCTGAGATACTGCCAGACTGCCTAAGCCTAGACAGGAGCAGTCCATATGCGGAGTTTGGGCTCGAACCACGGGTCTTCCGGTCATTAAATTCGCACTTCAAGCACCACCATCTGGAACTCCTCCCTCGATGGGTTAGCGGTCACACCCCACAAGTCAGGCCACGTGCTTTGCGTGCCAGAAGACCGTTGACTTCATAGAGCCCTCTCCGGTCGGCCTTGTACCGGATGGAGACGACAGAAGCTACTAATCTACGACTTGACAAAAAAGCGTGAAAGTCCCTACCAGTCAACTCAGATGTTTTGATAACTGCCGTCTCCTCAAACGGGAACCGCGGGACGAGTCAATCCAGTAGTGAGTTACCCTAACATACCTGTCACTCAGCCAATCTTGCATCTAAGCTATCGCCTTCACTCCCGGATATACCGGAAAAACAGAACCACTCAACATCAATAAGCTCATTGGACCATCGCTGTCAATGCGGGGCTCTCATTCCCTTGTTCTTATCCTCAGTGAATTAAGTCGTAGTTGATGGAATCATGGTACGGTTTGCGAGCTAAAAAAAACTCCAAACGAGAGTCGTGGGTGTGCATTCCACAAATCCCTCAGTCACTACCCACAACTGAACTTAACTGAACTTCTCCATGTAGCAAGAGGTATGGAACAGTCGCATTTTCCCGAAGGCGATCGTGTGGTTTTTGAGCATTTCTTTTGGACACCTGCAGTTGGTGGTCACTGAAGCTAAGTTCACTGTCCGTTAGCGCAGTGATTAAGAATAGGGTATTGGAAACTGTTATTCGAAGTTACGGTACTATGTCACCAATGTGGTGCTTAGCTCCCATACAACTCAATTAAAAGGCTATTCGAGAACAGGCCTTTTGCAACCATCATCATTGGCAGCAGTACACTGGTTATATATGCTGTGCTTAACTGTCCTTACATGTTGGGAATGCTTACGCCTCCAAACACGCCCCAGGTATAAACTGACAGCCGATAACGGTCTGCTGCCAGTCCAGTTAAACAAAGGAAGACGGTATTTCATCCTAAAGGGATAAGCTCTCCAGCAACACTTTTTGTGACTTGTAATCTTTGTCAAATCACGCATTGTCCATGTGTTGGTTTGTACCACTGACGTTAGAATTAGAGACGCTCTCCGCGACAGGTGTCACCATGTTGCCTTATGCTGTGTTTTGGTTACTGCGTTGCTGAGATTTCCCTTCCGTGCATCTTTTGTGAATGCTACTCAAGTTTTTTAATGTTTTAGAACCTTCGGCACATTACAGTTCTGCCCCCTCCCCCAGAGTTTACTTTGAAAAATGAAACGTACCCCTTCGGTCCCGAAATTACTTGCGTCGCAGGGCTTTGGTGCTTCACCAAGAAGGGTGATTCCAAAGGCGTTCAGCGTTTTCCCTCCAGCGTTATTGCATATACTACGCACGCACCAAGTTGTAGTGAAAAGTAGTGGGATAACTCGAATTTCAAGAGGAAGATGTGGATTCGGAAGCCTACAGTACCATCGACACAAAAGTATATATCGAACCCCAGTTTTCCATGATCGTAGCGTCAACAAGTGCACAAGTCTGTCACTGATCAACACTACAATGTGAGGGCCCGCACACTAGACGACGGCGATCGAACTATTGGTTCAGCGGTGTGGGTTGCGGTCTTCCCTTCCTAGGCCAGTCTCATGATCTTGATTGGCGTTTCGATCACAAGAAAAGCACGATAAAATAAGTCGACAGGCTCAGCAGGTGGTGTGCATACATGCATGGGTGAGGGGGTCAGTTGCGCACATTACACATGCTAATGTACGAATTTCGGGCGGGAGGGCCTTTGCGGCAAGGCGGATGCGGATAAGCAAACAAGTGGAGATCAAAAGTACATGGGTGGAGTAGGGAAATGAATGGGGGATTATCACGATGTCAAGTTAGGTTCAGGAGGTGTACAGACAGCTGTCACTGTTAGCGCTTTGTTAGATCGCAATCTTAAACTGATAGGCCACGGGAATTGTTCAAAGTGCTCGGCCCAGCGGTCGATGCGTCTTTTACTGAAGCTGGTCGCGCAACTGATGTTTGGTTTCGCATAGCCAATCACACGGATCAATGGTGCGTTCGATTCTGTCCGTCGGTTGGCGTTGTTACCCACATTTGCTTGACTGGATACTCCTCAGAAGTTAGTGAACATGATACGGCCCCTGTAATCATACTTCTCGACGTGTGTATGGTAAACTCCCTAAAAGCTTCGCTAAAAAGGGTGGTGCAACAAGGATGTCCACTCTTCATTCTTGTTCAACTTCCTCGTTGATGAAATAATGAGGTTAAAGCTGGATCATTTTCATAGCCCCGGTGTTCAAGTTGTTGCCGGTTGGGACCTTGTCGATCTGGAATACGCAGACCTCTTCATTTTCCCAGAAGAGGGCGAACCGCAAACTCTGATGCATAGACTGTCCACCGTCGTACCAACTTTTGGCGTGCGTCTCTCATCTTCTAAGGCATGATTCGGACTATGCAGTCTCTGAACATAGGAGGAGGTTGTGGGGAATCTCACAAGGGTCGTGTGTATAGGCCACAATATATGATAATCCTTCAGCCGTGCCTAGCTGCCATGCCACCCGAAAGAAGTACGAGAGCTGAGATACTGCCAGGTTGCCCAATCGTACACGGTGGAAGTCGAGATGAAGAGTTCTTGTTCGAACCACGAACCTTCCGGTTAGTGAACTCGCGCTTTCCCCACGGCCATTTCACCCCACAGGCCGCAGTAAGGACTGTAATGTATCGTTGCGAGACATAGCCTCCGCTGATTAACGATGTGAGGTGTCTTCAAGTTTTTGAAGTTATGCTGTAATAATCTGTGATAATGATGATCTACTGCGGATAGAGTTTGTGAGTGCTTGCACTGTGGGGGAAATGAGAAGAAATAGAAACAGCTACCTGGCGAAAGCTTGACTATTGTTACCATGCATGCATACGTCGAAGTAGATAATGCGGATGGTTCTGTGCAACTTTTGGAGTGAAGTTGCCTGCAGGCTAATCCAGTGAGCCGTACAGCCAGTTATCCATTTACCCTCCATACGTTTTTGTCAAAGTTGTTTGGCTGTGCCTTTTTCGTTTGCCTTGCCTTTGTTGAAGCCTGAGCTGCGCCAGATCCAGGATTGATGTGTTTCTAGTCGATTGAACTGACAGCGCTTTTGTCACTTATCGTTTTAGGTGGTGAAGAACAGTCGCAAAATGCTGGGAGCAACAAAGCCCGAGGAAAGTGAACCTGGGTCGATCCGCGGTGACTTCTGTCAAATGGTCGGTCGAAATTTGGTACATGGTTCTGATTCTGTGGAAAGTGCTCAAAAGGAAATCTCTCTCTGGTTCACTTGTAAAGAGTTGATCGATTACAAGCAAACCTCGAAGCCGTGGCTCCATGAGTAATGACCTTAGCTGGTTTTGATTATCAGTCTTGACCTTTGTTGATCTTGGCAATAAAGATAGTCTTTGAAGAATCCTGTTTTTGCTGATTACAGTGTGGGATGGAGTGCACTAGTTACGTCTGTCAAAGTTTGCCGCGTGGTTCACTGGTCGAGTGCTCACGGATCGTTCAGATGTAACATTCACAGCCTAGTTGCCATGCGCCCCGAAGGCTGATCTATTGCAGGTTACCCACTCCTCGCCAGGAGTAATGGAGATGCAGAGGTTCGACCTTCCGGTCAGTAAGTTCGCGCCTTAATCACATATCTCAAGGTCGCGAAGTAATGGGAGATTTTAGAAACAGTGTTCAGGACACCAATGTCCCATCGACTTGGTCCAGCGACCGGAAAAGCACAAAGCTGTTCCACCGGTGGACGTCCTGTTCGCGCTTTTTTGGTGAATATGGTCTTAGATTGTAATGCTAAGTTGTCATCATGGACAACAATACACCAATAGTATGGGTGCTGGATCACTGGTGGGATCCATTGGTTCCCTAAGACTGGCCTTCCCCCGTAGGTACCAAGTTTTCCCTGTTCGGCGAGTTTCACCAGTGAGCTATTAGGTAAAACCAGAAACCTTTTCAAAAGGACCGATGTAGGACCTCTTCCAGAAGTCAAGAGACATTATTTAGTGTGGCAACCACAGCGGGATGTTTGAACATCAGTTTTGGCTTCTGGCAGCTTGAAGTTTTACGGACATCATCGCTCGTCTAAAAAGTACTGTTTTCCTGGCGCAAGTATTCCTGTGAGTGCACATCAAAAGGGCTTAGGACTTGACTCAAGTTTCGTTCAGGGCCTGATACTTCAGATGCGCCAATTGTGCGCTGGCGACCTAGTTGTAATACGTTCGCCCTTCAGATCAGATGTCTGGGGTTCTGACCCTGTCACAGTTGACAGTGTACACTGCTGATGAGCTCCAATAAGGGCAAAACCCGAGTCTAAGGTTCTTTTAATGTGGACTCACCGGTATAACTGCATTAGCGCTAGGAGGACCGTTCAAAAGGGAATGGGAATTCTACAAACCCCGCGACTGTTTCAGATGTGCCCACTTGAATCATGTGCGTTGTGTCGAGTTATCAGACGTAGAGATTGTTTCAGACGTGCCTCATTTGGCTCCAGTCAGTCGTAAAGCGGTTATTAATTTACTTGTGCAGAGGACGCTGCGGTTTCCCACCAAAACACTTGAGGGTAGAAGTCAATTTTCCCACATCCATACAAGGGAATTCATTGTGAGGCATTACTGAACCAATGATGATCAACAAGAGGATGTTTGTCAGTTTCGAATTGCTCTCCTAAGAGTAATAAATGGGAACCTTCCCGTTTATTCTTAGGATTCAGGGATACAGCTGGATTTTTTATCGGTGAAAATATGCCCGTTTGATCTCTGAAGGAGTGTTGTTGCGTCTTAGGATAAAAGGCTTTGCCGGGCTCTCGCGACTCAGAATGAAGAGCCCAAAACCAGTAACTCAACTTCGTTAACCGGTGAACTATGGGTTCTCCAACTTTGTGGCTAGCCGAAAGTAGCTAATATTGCCCCCAGTGACTGAGAAATATCCATTGCGACACCAGGACCACCAAGCTGGTGTGTACGAGTTCGAAGACTAGGAGGACCCTTCGTAACTTGAATGACATTCTCGAGATTAATCTAGTTTGCAGTTACTTGTTTCATAGGCATAATCGGGACCTCCCCCAGATGGGGCCACGGCCCACGAAAAGTCCTTATGGGATGACTTTTTCTGCATCCTCGACCTAGGTGGCTGTTCACATGCACATCGGTCTCATCCCGATACGTACTCTAAACAAACGGGTTACCGTGGCCTAAGCTGGACAGACTGGGTCTGACTCCTTAATAATAAATAAAAAGCATTCAGCTGTAACACCTTTCAGTGCCTAACTGCCATGTTACACGAAGGCTGGGATATTGCCAGGTTGTCCGAGCCTCGACAGGGGGAGTCGAATGGCATAGCTCGGGTTCGAGCCACGAGCCTTCCGGTCAGTAAATTCGCGCTCTAATCACGTGAGCCATCTCGCCCCACCGGACTCAGGTTAGAGAGAAAAAATAATGAAAAACAGTTAGTGACAACGATGGTGAACTTGGATCACCGTGGTCTGTTGCCTTATTGTTACGAAACGGAGACGCCGACAAATGCGCGTCTGTCTTAATCCCACAGCATTTTCGTTGATTCCATTTCCACACTCGTGTAACACCACAGTACGGTACTTGTATGGGTTACATTATGACGAAACTGCCAGCAGGAGGAATTACACAGTACTCTCATAGTAATGTCCTTTCGACAGCTTTCTCAGATCTCCACCAAACTGCGGGAAGGATGGATCCCTCACTGTAAAGTGGCATTTTCGGTGAACACCAGGAGATGTAGGTATGGGTCATGGATCTCATGACGCATATGTAGCCCACCAGCACCTGTTGTGTGTGATTTCGAAGCTTGGTCCGAGCTACGCCACGAAACAGTGTTGGTGAACTGATTACATGTTTTGTCCTCACTGAAAGAGCACTTCCAAGCTACATTTGTTATTCGGTCAAATACGTCGAGACCCCGACGTACAGACACTTTCAACCATACCATTATGGTGCGAGCCGTTTTAGCTCGACACATTTTTTTTTCTCTTTTTTGTCCAAACCGAATGCGTGACACAATATTTGGGTTCTGAACTCATCTACATTGTGCTTCTTCAGTTCTGTGCAAATGGAAAATTTCTTTCTGTCATGCGGAATGGAAGCGCTGACTGCACTCCTCCAACACACTGCACCTGTGAACTGATCCTTCTAAACAAGCGAACCTCAATCAAGTAGAACGTGTTCGACTGTTCGTGTACAAATTGCCATGGCGAAGTAGTACCAGTTTACAGACTTAATACATTCCTCGTAAGGTTGCCGATAGCCCACGACCAGTTTGACCCTTCTTGGGGCTCATAAGGTAGGCGCAGTCCCCGAGTTTCCATCAACCTTATGTTCTACTTGAACCGAGATGGTCCAGGTGGTTAGAGCGCGAATTTACTGACCGGGAGGTCCATGGTTCGAATCCGACCTCCACTCGACTTCCCCTGTCTAGGCTTGGACAACCTGGCAGTATCCCAGCCCTCATGCTTCCTTCGGGTGGCATGGCAGCTAGGCACCGAAAGGGCGCTACAGCTGAACGCTTTCTTTCTTTCTTTCTACTTGAACCCAAATTGGACTGCTTTCGAGAAATATACTCATTTGTAAATCAATTTGGTTTTCACGAGAGACTCAACTGGATCTCTCGTTTATGATATTCTACAACTAAATGTGCTTCACACAGGTCGCCTCATGTTTCAGTTCGAGATATTGCAGTATGTTTTCATAAAGAAAACTACTAACAAAATTGCTGAATATTCTTCGACAGCCCATGACAGGTTTCGCCCTCCTTGGGGCTCATCAGGTAGACGCAGTTCCCGAGCTCCCGTCAACCTTAGGTTCCACTTGAACCCGAATTGTACGAAATTCGACAAATACACTTGTTTGCAAACCAGTTTGGTTTTGAAGGGAGATTCACCTGCAATCCATCTGAATCTCTCTTTTCATGTTGTTTCTTCAAATGGATGTGCTGCACCAGGTCGGTGCATTATTGACCCCATTATTGATCTAGAAATCAATAAATGACTCACCAATCCGTACTGTCAAAGGTTTTTGGATCAAAAGCAGACCCCAGTCACAAAACACGTAGGTTTCATGTTACACTGCAAGCTTCTGCTGAACCGCGATTCAAAGAAGCAAATCGAGGGAGGAAACTAAAGTCCCCATCTACCACGGCGTCAATCTTTTAAGTAAACACTCCTAAGAACAACACTCAATCCAGATCTACGTGGTTACTGGACACACGGAAACAGAACAATTTACAGTGTGCACTCGGTCGCCTTTTTCACTCGAGATAGAGTGAACCATGTCAGGATTTACCCATTTACTAAACGATTGGTTATCAATTGTGATTGAACTCGAAACCCACGTGAGATTACAGAGGGCTATCCGAAGAACCAAAGTTTTCACACCCAAATGGGGCTGGAGATAGCAGTTGTACGCATTGGCTGATAATCCTATTAGGTTAGGTATGCGCGACTAGTGATGACTTGTTTGAAAAGTTTTACAACAGGCAAAATATCCCACAGTGGGTCACCCCCTTCTCCCCCAAAAAATCCCAACAGTAGTTGGTGTATGCATCCTTACTCGTTTCTGAGCCGTCCCACAGGTTGTTTTCGACCCTTCGATAGGATGTATCCTGATTAATAGCACGGATTAGGGATGCAACACGAATTCTCCCACAGACTGTTCAAGAGTGAGTCATGTGGGTGTGTGATCGATTTTCTCGCGCCGTGGCCGTTCGTCTTTGTCTCGGCTCAGTGCATGGCCGTCCTGTAGCCCGAAGGAAGTATGACAGCCTTGCCAGGTCGCCCAAGCAGTCGGAAAGCCGGAAGCTCGGGGTAGTTAAAATATAAAGTAGTCAGCTTAGACAGGGTATGACGATTTGTACGGCTAATGGCTGAATTGCGGAATCCCGGATTATGATGTAAACACCACGAAAAGTGAGATCTGGTTACTGGAACTGAAGGCTACATTGGAGCAAACAAGCTAAGAATTACCTATTGAGGATGGCATTGGTAAAGCTGTTCACTTCTGACCCAAAATTGTCACCTAATTCGTCTCCATGGTTATTCCGTTGCACATAAACCTGAAATCATCTGACTACATTACTGCGGTTTCGTATTCGCAGGCAAACCCATCCCGACAACCGTTTTCTTCCCACTGGCTTCTCAAATCTACTACCTTTGTTTCACGCGATTTAGGTGCCACTAAAGTTGGTCATAAGATCGATCAGGACAAACACAGCTTACCGAAGGCAAGAAGGTTCTCTAGATACACTCATGCGAATCAATTTGGTTCTAATGGGACACTCAACTGAATCTCTCGTTTGTGAGGTTCCCCAATTGAATGCGCCGCACAACCATAGGGTAGGTGTTTTGTCAAGAAAGTGAAATGCACTAGCTCGAATGTCCTTCTGACTCTAGCAGGTAGTGCAATACATTCAGTTTAAGAAGGACATACACGACAGATTCAGTTGAGTCTCCGATTAAAACCAAATCGGTGTGCAAATGAGTGTACTTTGAGCTCAAGTAGGTTGACCGAACGGAAATTCTGGTCTGCGACTACCTGATGAGCCCCAAGAAGAGTGAAAGTGGTTTTGAGCTGTCGAAGAGTTTTTAGCACCCCTACGAGTAGTATGAGTGGTTCCCTTCCAGGAGAAGTACCGTCTTGTTTGGGGTTGGCTCCAATTTCGACCCGAATCTCTAAACGAACGTTATCCTCATAGAAAGAATAGTTTTATCCTCGCAGATGGGAATTGTGTAACGGAGGGCACCGCTTTATAGTTGGAATGGAATTGTTCGGTGGCCTTCCGTTTTAGATCGAGTTTTTTTCGGTTCTATGCTTGTTGCTGTTTTGCGACTCTGTCTTGCGGATCGACATCCCATTCGGTTAGAAAAATGGGATATGTAGTAATAGATAGGCATTAACAGAACTCTGTGCCATAAAACAGCTACCTTTTTCGAGTTCACCAGGACGCACTCTGTCCTCCTTGATCTCCCTGGTCAAAATCTCAACCATTTCTCCCGATACCGAAAAAAACCACAATGTTCGAAAACCGAGTCCTCCGATTCACAAACTCCACATATCAGTCAAGGATATTATGTTTTGTGTGCAATGCTAATGTTAATGTTCCCGATACGGAACTTTAAGTCGCGCGTAGGTTTGACGATTTCGAATGTATAAAAATGAAGATTTGGATTCGAACGTCCATGATACCATCCACACGAATTTATACAACAAATCTCAGTTTTACACGTTCGTGGCATCAACAAGTGCGCAAGCCTGTCACTGACCAGCACTGCGGTTTGAAAGTTTGCACCTATGACAACGGCAAACGGTCTGTTAGCTCAGCAGGGTGGGTTGCAGTCGTCCCTTCCAAGGCTAGTCTCATGATTCTCATTGGCATTTTGATCACACGGAAATCAGGACAGAACAGGTTAGGAAGGGATCAGCACGAACGTGCATTGGTCAGTAGGTCAGCTACGTATATTCACACATACACACACACACGTATTCACACATAATTGCATACAAGCTAACATACTAGTGTCGGACGGCAAGGTGGACGAGTAAAGCAAGTGGAGATCCAAAGTAAATATAAATAATAATAATTGTTCAGCTGTAGCACACTTTTGGTGCCTAGCTGCCATGCCACACGAAGGAAGCACGAGGGTTGGGATACTGCCAGGTCGCCCAAGCCTAGACAGGGAGGAGGGTCGAGAGACGGAGATNCGAGTAAAGCAAGTGGAGATCGAAAGTAAATATAATTGTTCAGCTGTAGCACACTTTTGGTGCCTAGCTGCCATGCCACACGAAGGAAGCACGAGGGTTGGGATACTGCCAGGTCGCCCAAGCCTAGACAGGAGGGGTCGAGAGACGGAGATCAAGCTGGAACCACGGACCTTCCGGTCGGTAAATTCGCGCTCTAACCACTGAGCCATCTCGCCCGAGATCGAAAGTACATGGGTGGAATACGCAAATGAATAGAGAAATTATCATCATATCAAGTTGCATTCAGTTCACAGTTATTCTGCTGCGTGTTGCCGTGTCCACGGCTGTTGGATGTTGCGCATCGTTCTCCAACTACATCCAACCCTAATGTCAAGCATCATAACGTGCGTGGGATGATCGATTGGCACAAAATCTCAGCGAAGTTTCCCTCCATTTGTCATCGGATAGTTCAACTCAACCCTGAATCGTGGTGAGTTGGTTTGGTAGCAATCACTTATGTTGAGTGCTCGCCTCAGTGTATTCCGTTTGTCTCAAGGCCAGATGAATCATCGAGACGATCGATTTTCACAACATATCATCTGAGAGCGGCGAACCAACACGAAACAGGATGTTAACATATCCGTATTTATTCAGTAGTATTTGTGCGGGAAGTTGAGATAATTCACGCAAAACCGTACAGTAGGGATGTGTGGAAATCGGAATTGACGTCTGGTTATCTCACGCACGAATGAAGTTGTTACTAACTGGTGCACCTTGAGGGCAAGTCTTTATATAAGTATTTTTCCAGCCAACCACAATTTTTTCCCGGCCACTAAGAATCCCATCTGGGTGTATATAGAGAAAGGGGCGAGATGGCCCATGTGGTTAGAGCGCGAATTTACTGACCGGAAGGTCCGTGGTTCGAACCCGACCTCAGCCTCTCGATTTCCCCTGTCTAGGCTTGGGCGACCTGATAGTATCCCAGCCCTCGAGCAACCTTCGGGTGGCATGGCAGTTAGACACCGAAAGGGTGCGACACCTGAACGACATGTATACGGAGAAAAGCAATCATACTTTTAAGACAACAACCTCAAAGAAATGGATGGAGTTGTCGAGGGAAGCCGGCATACTTACAAAAAAGTGCATAGTGCTATCAGTATACAAGCAGTTTTGGAATACTTCACAACTGGTTAGGAGATTTGAAAATTGTCAATCGATATTTCGTCCAATCCATGCTGAAAGGCGGCGATTCACTGTTTGGGCGGCGGTTCACTGCTTGTTGGCGATCAACAAAAGCTTGCTAACATTCTTATCATCTTTAGCCCATTCCAACAAATCACTGCGTATGGATAAAGTTGGAACGGCGAATGCTACCTCTAGATATTTCAATTATAAGGAACTCTAATGGCCCGGATCAAGTCAAGATGGATAGGACAGTATCTAAGTTCTGCGGGAGTTTCTCTCACTGTGATGTGTACTGTGCACTAGTTGTTGGGGATATTAGTTCTCCGGTCACGCCGAATTAGAAGGTTGATTTTTGCAGAATGCACTTTAAGGGAATTATCAATCGGCCTTATCCATCAACAAGGGCGATAAAAACTGCCCAATCATAACGGTTCAGAAGAAGCTCGTTCATCTCGAAGGGTGGTGGCTTATTAAACTACTCAGAAAGACCTTAGATTTAGCCTTGCCATACAAAGCCCATCTACACAGGAGTAATTCATTGCCAATTATCAGAACACCGCACTCGGTGCACCATGGACGATAAAATGAAGATAGTAGGGTACTGGTTACTAAATATGGATAACTGTCAGCGGAAACTCTGGTCCATCTTTGAAAGCCCAACCCATCCCCACTTTCTGTCCAAGTATTCGGTCACTTTAGCCACCTTGGTTTCGCTTGGTTGTCCTTCATTCAAGTCAAAATACGACATCCCTGAAGTACTTTTACAGATTTGACCAGCCTCACTGCTCGTGTGTACTAAACGATATGTCCCAAGTGGTTCTCTGCTTACCTTTGTGCTTTTCACTCATTTCCTCTCGTCACGTGACTGATCCACTTCCTGACCATTCGATTCTTTGCCTATACTCAGTCAATCATTCTGCAATATATGCATAGTAAAAATTCATTACTTATCTGCAGATTTAGAAAAAAAGACATGAGGCTTTGGGTGTCTCTTCTTAATGAAAGCTGTTGATCAACCTAATAGCTGAAAATATTTCACATTTCTGCCGCAAGTGGTGCTCTTTCTCAGGGAATAAATTTCGTTCTGAATTGGCACCGAAACGAACAAACACTACAGGACATCCTGTAATTAGATTACAGCAAGATTGGCTTATGTTCTGAAGGAAAACTTATCGTCTCTCGAACATAAATGCCTGTTTATGGGTTCCGCTACAGCCCTGCGTTTGTTTTCCCTGGACCAGAGTTGTTTGAGTTGCTAGTCACAGGCGAATTAATCCAAACTTGAAATCGTCCCAGATTTAACCGGCCGTGCACCTAAATTTCACCGTGTTTGCAGGATTTCCCTGGACCAGAGTTGTTTGAGTTGCTAGTCACAGGGAATTAATCCAAACTTGAAATCGCCCCAGATTTAACCGGCCTTGCACCTAAATTTCACTGTGTTTGCAGGCAAGATTGCACCCATTTTGTCGCAGACGAATGCCAGTATAAAGTGACTGAGCTATGGTTGTAATGCACTACTCATAAGGTTGCTGAAAACTCTTGGACAGCCCACGACTAGTTTCGCCCTTCTTGGGGCTCATCAGGTGGGGGCAGCCCCTGAGTTTCCGCTAAATTGCACGAAATTAACGAACTACACAGAAGAACGGCCGAACATGATCATGTTCAGGCATTTCCTGGAAGCACGCCTATCAGACAGCCTGGATCAATGTCAAGGAGTGCCCTTCAGATAGCGCGGGGTCGCTGTAACTTTTGCACTCGCACGCACTCGCTTGTTGCAATAAAGCTGTTGTGTTCCTTGTCGATGAGTTCTTCCCTGGCACCAGGCGCTGTAGCGGGAAAGCAGTCAGATATAAAAAGAAGGCAGTAAACAAGCCCTCTGTTTGTCACTGATACACACACAAGTGGAATCATTGTCTTACAATGTCAAACGAAGATGGGTATGCGTCGAACAACGCAAGGAAATCATAATCTTATCTAACTTGAACCTGGTTTGTGTAGTTTTTACTCTCATCAGCTTGGCGATGTATGTCATCTTTGATCCGGTCTGGTCAGCGATAAAAGGGGTGCAGTCCCTGACGAAGAACAACCGTGCTCCTTCGAGATGACAAAAACTTCAGAAGCCTTTCTTTTCTGGGGTAACGAAAATATACACTACAGAAACATTATAGAAGCCACGAGAACTGAGCATTTATGGTGGCGCCCAATCAATGCCGAGTGCTAACGATGAATGTCGATTTCACGAATATCACTGCAAATTGTCAACAGTTAGATGCCGAAAACAGGGTCACGATACATACGCAGAGTAGTCTGACTTGTAAGCCAANGGACAGCCCACGACCAGTTTCGCCCTTCTTGGGGCTCATCAGGTGGGGGCAGCCCCTGAGTTTCCGCTAAATTGCACGAAATTAACGAACTACACAGAAGAACGGCCGAACATGATCATGTTCAGGCATTTCCTGGAAGCACGCCTATCAGACAGCGTGGATCAATGTCAAGGAGTGCCCTTCAGATAGCGCGGGGTCGCTGTAACTTTTGCACTCGCACGCACTCGCTTGTTGCAATAAAGCTGTTGTGTTCCTTGTCGATGAGTTCTTTTCTGGCACCAGGAGCTGGAGCGGGAAAGCAGTCAGATATAAAAAGAAGGCAGTAAACAAGCCCTCTGTTTGTCACTGATACACACACAAGTGGAATCATTGTCTTACAATGTCAAACGAAGATGGGTATGCGTCGAACAACGCAAGGAAATCATAATCTTATCTAACTTGAACCTGGTTTGTGTAGTTTTTACTCTCATCAGCTTGGCGATGTATGTCATCTTTGATCCGGTCTGGTCAGCGATAAAAGGAGTGCAGTCCCTGACGGAGAACAACCGTGCTCCTGCGAAATGGCAAAAACTTCAGAAGCCTTTCTTTTCTGGGGTAACGAAAATATACACTACAGAAATCTTATACAAGCCACGAGAACTGAGCGTCTATGGTGGCGCCCAGTCAGTGCCGAGTGCTAACGATGAATGTCGATTTCACGAATATCACTGCAAATTGTCAACAGTTAGATGCCGAAAACAGGGTCACGATACATACGCAGAGTAGTCTGACTTGTAAGCCAACAGTTGTTAAATTTCCAATCAGAACTTCTTCCTGTCCTGCTCGAACACATGGGGTGAAATTCCGAGTACGGTAAAAAAAGACTAACGGTTCAGGTTGTGCTGAGTTGTACTGTACTGTACTCAGCCGTCCAGAAAGACTGACAGACTAGGGCTTGCTGTAGTCTCATTTCTTCTCAACAGTTCAGGCTAATGAACTGCAAATGCTCACACCGGTTTTATCCATATCGTTTACAAATCGATGCGACTAATTCTCGCTCACACACGAAACCTGAAAAAGTTTTAATGCATACAAATATAAGCCTTGATTGTGTATGTGTGTGAGTATGACCGATGACACTAATAGTAATCCAGCTTTATAGCAGATTATTGCAGTGTATGGACAATAGCCAGAAAATCTAGCCGAGGAATTGTCCAAGCGTGCATAATCGATAGTGTGCAAGTCTAGCTTTAAGGTATATTGCGTGCCTAGCTGTCTGTACCGCACGTCCGTCGATCGATCGCAGACTGCTGATGTCTGACCAGGAAAGCCGATTCGGGCTGAAAACACGTGCAGCCCATCGATCCTAGGATAACCTCCGGCAAATTAGCATTGCGGTTCAGCCAGACATCAGCTGATCGCCCAACAAGGTTGACAGCCTTGACAGTGGGACGAGAGAAGCGGACGCCGGAAGTTTTTCCGGCTTATAAGTGAGCTTGTATGAAGCTTTGTTTCCCTGTTTTGACCTTGAAGAGAATCCACAGTAATGTAGGTTTCCACAGTAGCGCGGATGTATTTTATTGCATCGCCTCAGCTGCACAATGCAGTCAAAATGAAGGTAGTTTACTGAGGAAAAAGTTAGTTTTCAATGACTTATCCATGCACATATAACTGCCTCGGTCCACAAAAACCTGGTTTGTGTTTTGCGACGACAACTGCCTCTCCTCCAGGACTGAG